AAAATTCTTTTGTAATATCAACCTCTCCTTGTTCATGAACAATTGGAAAGAGTTGGTCTAGTTTTTGGGTGGGGTTGCCTCTACCCCAGCCCGTTCGCTGAATCTTTCTTTTGTGATTAATGAAAGTTTCTCTAAGTTTCTTATAAAAAAAAAGAACTATTTTTTCTGTAATTACCTATAAGAAAATACAATATTTTTATAATATTATTAAAATATACAATATTAATTCTTAAAATAAAAAAATTATAAAAAAAAAACTTTCTCGTAGTGTACTTTCCCCTAAATCTAATTTGTTCATTATTTACAATGCCTTTTTAATATAACATAATCTGAAAATGTTAAGTTAGAAATCTTTTTCTAGTTCAATCAAGGGCGATTTAAGCTTTTAATTTTTTAGTCAATAATATATATTTTACTCGTTTGAGCTATGTTCATGTTGACATAAATTAATATTTTTATTGTAAGTGAAATCTCTCGAATGATTATAGATTACAAATTGTCCAATAATTGATATGCATATACAAAAATTACAAACATGTTTAAGAAATATCTCATTGTTTATTCTCTATTTTCAAAAGCAAGCTTATGAGTAACTATTTTCTTTTCTAAAGAGGTATTCATCAATATATAAAAGGTTAAATTACTCTTTCTTAGTATTATGAGGTGAAGATTCAAATCCATGAACTTTTGGTCGAAGTTAATCGAGCATACTTTGATTGAATTTAATTAGTTGAGCTATACTTAGGCAGGCTCAATAACATATTTAGTTTTGTACTTAGACAGCGTGTCTATTTAATTTCTAAATTTGGAATTAATTTTTATTTTTTAATATATATCAAACACTGGTTGATGGTTGTACATCTGACATCCATTTTTTTAAAATTTAAGATCGATGAGATAAAACGTTTCAATATCCAATTAGACAATATAAATTCTCTCAAAGAGAAAAAAAAAATAATTATAAATGAATGTAGAAGGCAAATAGGTCATATTAGATTTGAAAATTAGGCTGGGCAGAATTTGGTTGAGCAATTATGTGCCCAATTAAACTTTCAAATCCATCCATTTGATTGTCAGATCATGTTTCTCCATTTTTATTTTTGAGAAACATAAATCTTTCGTAACCGTTGGTATTTTTCGTTTTTAAAACCAAATCAAAATTTTGTCTCATTTCTAGTTTTTTCAAAACAATAATAAAAGCATTATTTTATATTTACAAAATGCATAATAAATATTAACTTTCATATAATTTTTTTTTCTTTTTTCTTTTTTACTTTAAAATTTTAGAAAATAAAAAACGAAAAATAGTTACCAAATATGTCTTTTTTTTCAATAAAAAAGAAAAAAGAAAAACAGTTATTAAAAAATAAGAAACTGGTAACAAGAAATAGGAAATGAAAGACCAAAAATAAAGAACAAAAACTTTACCAAACTGGATCTTAGATTTATGTTTTATCTACCCATATTCAAAATTGGGATCGAGAATAAAGTTTAAAGATGTAATTTCAAGTTTCTAAATTTCAAATATCAATTCGCACAATACCCATAAATTTAGGCATATTTCTTGTCTCTCCTTTATAATTTATTAAAAAATTTAATCTTCTAATTTTAGAAACTGAAGTACGTGGTAATTTTCTATGTTTCTTATTTCTTATTTATTTTAGAAACGTTCTAAAAATTGTATAAAATATTTGGAAACGACAAAATCAAGTTTTTTAGATTTTCGCTTTTATTCTCGTTTCCTACCGTTTTATCATTCATGAGGACATGCAGTTCTATTTTTATTCTCGTATCCACTTTTTCAAGAAAAACAATATTATCTTAATTTAATATTTCCTCATTTATCTTTATTGAAAAAAAAATGAAAACATGTTTGGTATCTATTTCTTGTTCTCTAATATTTTAACTTAAAAAAAGTAATATTATATGAAATTTAATTTTCGTATTAAATATTTAAAATTTTTATGTTATATTTATTATTTGTTTTAAAAATAAAAATAATAAAATAACACTTTTGGATAAAGCTAGAATCCATAACAATATTCGAAAAATTTAATTTTGTTTCTAAAATTTCTACACAATTTTGAAAACACGAGAAACAGAAACACTTACCAAACATATGTTTCTAAAAGTTTACAAATGAATAAAAAGAAACGGGAGTATTACCAAACATGCCTCCATGTTCTACAAAATGAAGCATCATTTATATCTTACACAGTAAAATCATGTACAAAACTCATCACTTCTCAGTGAAGAATCCAAGTCTACAGAGATGAAATGTTTCATCATTTCTTCCAAGCTATATTGCATACACTCAACTTGCATTTGTATATATATCTATATATGTATATATACCGGAGAAAGAATGGTGACCTATATGATTGGGAAATTACCTCTTCTTATCTTGAAGTACACGAGTCTCGAATCAACCCACGAGTTTTATGGGAGACGAGCATGGCAATTGCAGGTTCCAGACCTTGAGTAAATACTGGTCACCTCAAGGTAGCTTGCACCTGAAAGCAGGAATAACCACCCCAATCCGAGGAACCTCGGACTCCATGAGCCATGGATAAACAAGACGATAGAGATGCAAATCAGATTTGATTTCGTAACCTCGACAGTAAAGTCTGCATACTCTCGAGTTTCTCATAGAGTTGTTTAATAGTTGCAACATGCTGTACCGGCGAAACTGAACTACCGAGTTCAGACATGAGATAAGTGCATTTTGATTGGGAATCAAGAATTGCCTGCTCCAGTGAAGTCACCGTAGATTCTGCGGTTGGTTGTGGGCTTTCACCAATCAAATATGCCGAAGGAGAGAATCCCAAACTGGCTACACTGCTACCCCTGCTAAGCTTTTCTGGGGTGAAGATCTTGTCAATGCTCTCGCTTCCTGCAAATTAAGAATCAACTAGTAAATATTTGTTACTGTATCCAAGAGATCTTCAAAAAAGTCGTAGAATGAGTAGTTCATCATGTGCGTAAAACCAGATTGAAGTATAAGTTTCAATATTGGAATTCAGAATGTGATTAATGTGTAAACTTAGTAGATACTCTCCTGGTAAGGAGAATCAAATAAAATGAAGCTCAGGGAGTTAAGGGATCTATAGTTAATAGCCTTCTATTGCAAGAGAAACATAGAACTTTTCAAGAACCCAGTTATCATGGCGTACACAATTGACATACCAAGGTTGCTTAGCTGGTCCAAGGCTGCTTGACCAATAGACCCCTCCAGCTTTAGTAGCCGAAGAATCCCAGCAGTAATTCGACCCATCGAATCAACTTCAGACTTGAACAGTAAGGCAAGATGTTGCAGCTCATTCTTTGTAACAACGGCCTCAATCTAGAATGTAATAACATTGTGTGAAAACGTTCCCAAACAAAACAGATAGTGCTGAAAACAAGAAAAGTTGAATATCTAATACCGGATGCTTTACAGAGAACTTCAAGTTTTCCAGAATCCAGTTGGCCATCTCAACATCAACATTATCCTCAGATACCACCATGCGAGCTTCAAGATTTATCCCCCCGAATGTCTCAACTGCTTCATTCACCCCATTGAGGAGAGAAACAGTATGTTGGGTGTTCTTTTGAACCTGAGGCTTCAATGTTTGCAGGCCTTCTACGCTGACCTAAATTTGACTCAAATTTATCAAGTTCATGCAAATGGTATGTCACATAAGCCACCAGCGTGGACAAAGACAGGAAGAGAATGGTTCAGTAAAATCAAAAGCACCGGGGAAAGGATTGCAAGTTGCTAACTAGTTAGTTAATCTTTGCTTTTAGTTTTTTTTTTTTTTTCTTCTTTTTGGGGTAAGAGGGGTGCTTACTGTTACTAACTCCATGGGATACTGTTGAGCTCCACATGATCTTCCTTTGCCAATTGCTGGATCCTTCGGACTACTCTGCGCTTTTACTCGGAAGCTCTTGAAAGAAGTGTGCCAACACCTTTCTTCTCGGCCTTCTTTATTGGGATTATAAAACCACCACCTTTCTCCCACCTCCTGTGCACCTTCAAGTGCAAATAACCAATTTTTAAGTTCTACAGAAACGTCCACATCATCTGGCTTTCCTAATTGCAACAGAGGACTTTCTTTCCCATCTCCTGAAATTCCACACAGAATGGAAACTTGAAGATTGTAAATTTTGACATTTTGTTGCTAAAAAGTCTAAGGGAGAGGCAGATAGCAAAACAACTTTTGTGATGAGAACAGAAGATAACATTCATCCTTAAAGTCTAAGAATACATTAGTGTGCATGAACAGAGTATATTCTTAAGTAGCCAATATTTTTTAAGTTCCTGTACCTTCTAAACTGCCAGCAATGAGAGGTGAAGTTTTGAAAAGTTTTGAGAGCGGCCCTGCCCGTAAATTCTCCAGACCTTTCATAAGACCCTTTCCTGGGCCACCATCAGGACCAAGAATTCCAAATCGATGTAGTAAGGCTTCAGCATAGTTCATTCCTCCACTTAGGCGCACACCAGCAACACAAGCTGACACATTTAAACTATGACACTCCATGTCCCGCTCATTCAAAGGAATTACATGCACTATGTTAATATCAAGAAACGGGGTTGTAAATCTGTCCCTTTTGTTCTCTACCCAAAGGATTGCTCTTAGTTGAGATAATCCATTCCCATTCATAAAAGAACCGTTTTCAATTGAAGTTGAAACAATGCCATGGTCATATGCAATATTTCCTTCAGTGTCTACGCAATCAACTTCAACATTATCCCATCGTACTGTGGATGAAATGGCAACAGCACCACCAAGCGTTCTGTGAGAAACTTTGATGAACATATCATTACCAATAAATTGAACCAGAGGCCGTTCCTCAACAATTGTGGAGGAAGACTCCAGAAATCTAAGTTGAAGGTTCTTCACCAATAAACTAACAGCAGTATCACTAGGAACCTTATCCACAAGCTTCCCAGCCAACAAGTTGCTCCTACTTTCTTTTGGTTGATTATTCTTTCCAGCAAGGGCTATCTTTTCACTAACTCTACCAAAGTATGCATAAAGATCTAGAACGAAAAATAATTGATCAACTGACGTGTTGGATAGATACTGTTGACAGGAAACCCCAACTCTCACAACACCACCAGGAGGAGGAACAACTGTTAACGTGTTTCCATCTGCAGTTGCCATAGCTACTTCAATGGAAACATCCGTCAGCTCCACACATCTCAACAAGGCTAAAATAGCATCAGAACTCTTAGATCCAGTCAATTCATTGTATGTTTCTAATGATAAACTAATCTGAGACACGCTAGTGGTCCATTTCTTCTGGCTAGCATCAATTGGTTGACCTTCCCAGAGAAGGAAGCAAGCAGGATCTTTATCCAAATTCAGTAGTCTAAGCTTCAGAGAGGGTGATTCAGAAAATTGCATGTTCTTAATATGAAGCCGAGCTCCATCAAAAGAGCTTTGAGAGATCCCGTCCCAGCTGCTATGATAATCAGTAGATTTGGCCACGTCTAATGGAACAGTAATATCTAACTCCTTGAGAGTAAGTATAATGGAACTTATGGAGAAATCCGGTAAAACAGAACCAGGATTCCCAACTATTCCATCAGCTAGGAAAGATGATATCCTCAAACATGATTTTTCCTGAAGATGAATCTGGAGAAAAAATTCAAATATTAAAGTGAAGCTTAGGAAAATGATGATTTCAAACATGTTTAAGTAACTGGAATAATCATTTAAAGAATATTTTACATACTGTGAGCGGTTGGCAGTGGATAACTGTTTGGGTAGCAAAAGATGGCGGGACTGGAGAAGGTTTGACCTGCACAGAGTGGAGGCATAATAAAGGAACACTTCCACTCAATTCCCATTGCTTGTGCTTAAAAGGATATATTGGTGGGCAGAAGTTCTTAGCTGTCCAGCACAAGACATCGTCATCAGCATTAGACAAGATACATTTCAGATCTCAAGTCTTAAATACATATAAAGCTATTGAACCAACAATGATTTCTTGAAATTATACAAAAGGGTGAGTCAGACATTACCAAATTCTGGAACATGTAAAGAATCGTCTGTAACAGCCCGCATCACTGGTTGTACTAATGTGCATGGAGGGCGTGAAAAAGTATCCCTAAAAAGATACAGTATCCAAAAAGAAGAATCAACAAAAACAAGCTTCAATTCTGTACAAGATAATCTAGGTCAAATAACACGCTACCAGTACCTCAATAGTCAACACTAACATTTAGTTAAATTAATAAATACAACTAGCAACAATGGTATTCAATAAAATGTTGTAAAAAAATATAACTACCGATAATCAATATAGATGAAAACTTGTGCTACCTCAAAAAAAGTCCACCAATCATGACTCTAGTCCAGTTATTTTCATTTTGTCCATCGCTAACGCTAGCCTGTTGTAAAAGAGCAGCCATATTTAGGTGTGAAAAAGAAGAAATAAAAGAAAATATAACTACAGATAATGTAAATGCATCCTAATGAGCAATGTAGATAATCATAAGGTTATTGAAATACATGGCCCCTGGGTTGTTTGCTTTTTTGTCATAATATATTCAACATTTATTATCCAAAAAATAATAATAATAATAATAATTATTATTATTAGAATTAGTGAAAACTGGATTACAAAAGCTAAAATCTTGTTGTACGTCGCCTAATTCATGATACCACGATGGTGGTGGTAGTGACTGCTAGAGAAAAAAACCTTAAACTCACAACAGGACTCTAAGGTCTTCTACCAAAGGTTGAACTTTTCCACTAATTCTTCATAATTGATTAAAGCCACCAGAACTGGGAAATAAAGCAAGGAAAATAATACGACAGTGCTATAGAACTAAAATTACTTTTTTTTTGGGTAGGAAATGAAACTTAACCAAAGACAATACAAAAGGGGAATATACAAGCCCCATCCTAAGAAACAGACACGGATACAACACTACAAGATACAAAAATGGCGACTTGTCAACTTCTTAAAAAGTAGGATAGGACAAGTCGGGGTATAGTGTGAGACCCCAATAGTTAATACTTATGTTAGAAAGGGCAAATAAGAAAATCCACCCCTTCAATTTAGTTGAGGGTCTTTATATGCTTTGAGGTTCTGCTTTGTAAGTTTATGTTTGTTTTGTTTTGGGAAACCTAGGGTATGGTGAGAATGGCTACGAGACTTTTGTATGGCCCTAGGCCCCTAGTGCTTCTTCTTCTCTAAATATCATAACCAGATACCTTACAAATTGGCATTAGAGCTGTTCATCATAGGAAAACTTGGAAAAATTTGAATAGAAGAAATTCAAGGAGCGAATGTAGATAGGAAGCATTAGGAATGAGTTGTTGAAGCTTCCAACGATTGAGGGTTGAATAACATAGTTTACACACTCTTGGAATGGTTAACGTCAAGGATGGAGGAAGAGCGACGTATTCAAGAGGAGACCCAAAAAGCTCTAGCGATGATAGCGTCAGAGCTATCAACTCAACGAACCAAGATAAACTCCTCAATGGTAGTAGAAGGTTTGACGCAGAAAAGGAAATATCACAAAGAAGCGAGTGACCCGTTTCAAAAAAATGGTTATGGGAGGGACGGTCATACAAGCAAAACAGAGGAAGGAATGTTTGATGGCAACAAGTTTAAGAAGGTTGAGATGCTGGTATTTTCAAGTGACAACCTTGACTCCCGGTCATTTAGAGTCGAGAGATACTTTGATATTCATACATTGACAAACGCGAAAAAGGTCACAGTGTCTATAGTGAGTTTCCATATAAAAGCTTTGACCTAGTACAAGGGGAACGATGGACAGGAACAATTCAAGGATTGGCATGACTTGCAACCAAGCATGTTCAAGCGTTTCGGGTTGTCTCAAGACAGAATCTTCTGTGTTTGTTTCCAAGACATGGAGACTGTTGCAAAATATCAAAATACCTTTGAAGCCCTGGTGGCGCCACTTCCCACCTGATGGAAGAGGTTTTGGAAAATAAATTTAAAAACAGGCTCGACCCAGTGGTTAGAGCAGAAGTATTGTGTTGGAACCTATTGGGCTTGAGCGGATAATGAAGACGACCCAACTAGTGGAGGATCGTGAACTAGCCAAATCAACCCAGGCAAATGTGGCCCATCACTCTCCAACAAGGCCTAATGTAGCAAATCCTAAAAACGTCGTACCTACAAGCAAACCAGCCACCAAGTGCACCATCTCACTACCCCACGAACACAACAACCCTATCTAGTCGGGTCCCATCAATAAAATAGGAAACAGTTTTGAACGCCTCACAAATGCAAAGTTTCAAGCGAGGAGAGAGAAAGGATTGTGTTTTTGTTGTGAAGAAAAGTATATTGTGGGATATCGGTGCAAGGGTAAGGAACTGAGGGTATTGTTGGTCCACAACAGTGAAGCTGAAATAGAGATGGAGGTCAACTCTAAAACCACAAAAATCGTCGCCATGCAAGCAGTAGAGGTGGGCAACGCCACAAAGCTCTCCTTGAACACAGTGGTCTACATCAGGGAGGATGAAATTACGTAGAAAAGATCGGGCAAGAGAAGTCATTGTGCTGATCTATTGTGGAGCCATGCACAACTTTATCCCTTGAGATCCCACATTCAAGAATAGCCAACTATGTCGTCATCACGGGAACAAGGCTGGTAGGCTGGTGGTTAGAGGTAAGGGCATATGCCAACCCATGGTTCTGAGACTAACTGACCTTACAATCATAGAAAATTCCTTACCCCTGGACTTGGGGGAATAGACGTGGTCTTGGGGATGTAGTGGCTTCAGACACTAGGGGGAATAGAGATAGATTAGCTACCAGGGGAAATAGAGATAGATCGAAAAGCACAGATGATGACCTTCAAAATCCACAAGTTGAAGATAGTGCTGTTGGGAATCCACAAGTTGAAGATAGTGCTGTCGGGGAACCCTTCTCTGACCAAGGCAAAACATTGAAATGTTTATCGAGATCATGGAAGGATCAAGATTAGGGCTTTCTTGTAGAATTTGTGCCTGAACTACCCAAACTGCAATTGTGGGAGAGGTGGACTCAGTTCCCAGCAACTCTAATCTATATATCGTTGAGACATTGATCAACGACTACAAGGATATATTCCACTCAAAACAGAGACATCGACCATCGAATACAACTTGAGGGGCTATCCCCTGTTACGTGCGACAATACCAATATCGATATCCTCACATACAGAAGACAGAAATCGAGAGACTCATCAGGGAAATGTTGACTGCAGGGATCATCCGACCAAGTGAGTTTGTGTTCTAATCCGATCCTTCTTCTAAAGAAAAAAGACGACAATTGGACGCTTTGTGTGGACTATCAGCTTTCAACAAACCCTAAAAAATTTCCCATCCTTGTTATTGAGGAGTTGCTCAATGAATTGCACAGTTTTCAGGTATGTTCGAAGATTGATCTTAAATCAAGCTATCATCAGATCAAAGTCAACGAGGGAGGCATCCCAAAAATTGTTTTTCGCACACAGAAGGGTCACTAAGAATTTCTAGCCATGCCATTCGACCTCATGAACACCCCCTCCACGTTTCAAACCCTGATGAACACTATATTCCAACCTTTTATACATAAGTTCATCCTTTTTTTTTTTTACGATATTCTGGTGCATAGCTCTAACCTTGATACGCACCTCCAACACCTCACGGTGCTCTTTAATCTACTACGAGACAATGCACTATATGCCAACCTCAACAAATGCCATTTTGCAAATAATCGAATTGAGTATCTTGAGCAATGGGTATCCGCACAAGGAGTGGAAGCTGACCTAGAGAAATTTAGGGCAATGATTGAATGGCCAACTCAGCCAACTTGAGGGAACTACGAGGATTCCTCAGCCTCATAGGGTGCTATCAGTGGTTTGTATCTAACCAAACCACCAAAGGCTTCAAATAGCTCAAACACGCTATAGTGACTCTCCCGATGTTGGCCTTACTCAGGCCTCTTAAGGATGAATAAACCACCACTCAACCAAAAAACTTAAGCTAATGAGTTGTTTATGGAAACACTCCCCCTCACTTGTGGGCTTGGATAACTGCACCAAGACCAAACAAGTGGAAATCATAATAAATGGGGAGGAAACGACAATGCAGAGGTTCGAACACAGGACCTCCGCCTCTGATACCATCTTAAGGATGAAAAAACCACCACTCAACCCAAAAGTTTAAGCTGATAGGTTGTTTATGGATATATAACAAGGCCCAAGCCAAATCCATTTACGAAAGAGAACTAATGGCCATTGTTATGGCAGTATAGAGGTGGCGACCCTATCTACTCAGCCAGAAATTTTTAGTCCAGAAGGACCAGTAGGCCCTGAAATACCTACTGGAAAGTGGTGCAACTCAAATATCATAAATGGATTTCCAAGTTGCTGGGATATGACTCCGAAGTTCATTACAGACTCGAGTTAGAGAACAAAGCAGCAAAGGCCCGAATGCATCCAATAGCCCACTTGGCCTCATTAACAACTCTAGCACTATTGGACATGGATGTGGCTAAAACCGAAGTGTCGCAAGACCCCAATCTCAATCAAATCATCGCTCGACTCACCGACAATCCAGACAATATCCCGAAATACTAAGGTACCTTACTCAATAAAGATCGATTGTTCTTTCCAAAAACTCTTCTTTAATTCCAGCAGTACTCCACACCTACCATGATTCGGTGATGGGCGGTCACTTTGGGTTCAAGCGCCTAATGAGGGAACTTTATTGGGCAGGGATGAAAGTGGACGTCAAACAACAATGTATCTGTCAGCATAATAAGCACCTAGTAGCTCACCCAACGAACTACTCCAACTATTACCAACCCCTAATCGTATATGGGAGGACATCTCGATGGATTTCAGCAAAGGGTTGCCAAAATCTGAGACATGGCACTATTTTTGTGGTGGTAGACCAACTTAGTAAGTAGGCCCACTTTATTCCTATGCTGACTTCCATTCATATCCAAGTCAATAGCAGCTGACTTTGTACACAAGGTGATCAGTTCCATGGTGTCCCTCACTCCATTGTCTTTTTTTTTTTTGGGATAGGAAACAAAGTATTTATTGATCTTCTCAAAAAAAGGAGACAACCTAAGGGTAGAGGGTCGAGATTACCCTCCCCCAAAAACTAGACAATGGCAGCCTTCTAGTTTCTAACTAGTAAGTATAAGCTATAATTACAAAAGAATTTTTTTATGGTTTAAAGACCACCACGAAACATAATGTTGTACATTGCTACAAAAGGTCCTCTATAGACTTCTTATCTTCAAAAAGCACCCCGAAATCGACGACCAAAGAGAGATTGTGAGCAAGTGTATGGAAACCTATTTGAGGTGTTTTCGTGTGAATGACCCAACAATAGGAGATATGGGTTACATGGGCCAAGTACTGGGATGATACCACGTTCCACGTCTCCATCGGGGCTACCCCCTTCCATGTCATCTACGGTAGGCCCCCACCCCCTTATGGAGACCGCTGGACATCCAATTCTACCTTGGACCAACAACTCACAAATCACAACCATGCTTTGACGATATTGAAAGCCTACTTAGCAATGGCCCAACATATGAAGAAATTTGCAAATCGCCACCCCAAAGAAGTTGAATTCTCGGCTAAGGACTGGCTTCATCTCAAGATTCGCCCATGCTGCCAAATTTCACTCGTCAAACGATGTAATGAGAAGTTGTCCCCGAAATTTTGTGGACCTACCAGATCCTCGAGAGGATGGGTTCAATGGCATACAAGTTGGGCTTGTCGACAGAAGCTACCATCCACCCTATGTTTGATGTCTCATAACTCAAAAAGGCCACCCCATGCTCATGGATTTATTACGAGTGGATAGCTAAGCCCACAAAAGTCATGTGCATGCATCGTAATGCTAAAACAGTCGCGATTGAGTTGTTGGTACATTGGACAAGACTACCGAAATACGAAGCCACGTGGGAACTGCACTCTGGTTTTCAATAGCAATTCCCCAACTTCCACCTTGAGATAAGGTGCTTCTATACCCCGGGGTAATGTGAGACCGCAATAGTGAATACTTATGTTAGGAAATGCATCGCTTCAAGTTAGTTAAGAGTCTTTATATGCTTTGAGGTTACATTGTGTAAGTTTATGTTTGTTTTGTTTTGTGAAACCTTGGGTAGGGAGATAACAAGTCCTCTCAAATTGGCTAGGGAGACTTCTGTATAGCCCTAGGGTTTCTTCTTCTTTAAAAATCAATATATTGCAAGAAGATGACTTGCATATATGTCTTTTTAAGAATATATCAAATAATATGTATAAATTACATATTTAATACCTCTAAATAGATAAAAACACATAAATTTAATATTAAAAAAATGAAATGTGCTTGTGGGCCTGTGGCAGAGCAGTGAGCAATGTGGGCCGCCTCCCAATTTCTTTCCATCTTTCATACAGGTTTCTGAGTAATGGGCATAGTGATGGACTAGGTTAAATGTTTTTCTTAATGTTCTCAACGGTTTATTTATGTTGGTGCATCTACATGTCCCCGACATGCCTAAATATTTCCTATTCCCGACGCGTCCGAAATAAAATAAATAAATAAAATAGGATACTTATTTTGCATGTCGGACAAATGTCCACAGCATGTCTAGACATATCCATGTCCAACATAGACACGGTCAAAAAGAGAGTGTTCATGCTTCTAGCCCTCACCAAGCCAAGAGTCAAAGACTGACTATGGGTGTACACAGGTTAGGTTTTTTTTATTTTAACAAGAAACGAACATTTCATTGATGAATAAAAAGGAACAGAAAATGTTCAAAGATACAAACTCCCAAGGGAGCGAGGGAGAAATAGAAGACAAAATAAGAGACAAAAGATAAAGCTAAGGGGGTGTTATAAATGCCTCCCAATTCGTACAAATCAAGCTAGTAGTATAATTAGAGAATAAGTCTAAGAGGGAGCACCAATGGGATGCTTTGAACATGGCTTAACTGAAGCAATCCAAAGGGGACTTGCTTTCAAACCATAACTTAGAGAGGATAGCTTTGTTGCCATTGACCCAGAGAAGCCAAACCTTGGGAGGTAGCCTCACACATAAAAGCTGGAGAATATTTCTTGGAACGTTAGCATCAAAGGCCCAAGAGATGGAAAAGATGTGAAATAAGAGTTCCCAGCAAGCTTCAGCAAACAAAAACTGAAAAAAGACATGGAGCTGACTTTCACCACTTGCACATAGCACACAAATCGTAGGAGACAGAGCAATGGTGGGGAGTTTCTTTTGGAGTATGTTCGTCGTATTTACCTTACCATTAATCAAGATGCCGGACAAGACCCCAACTTTCTTTGGACTTTTCGTCGAGCAGGAGGAGGTTGGGTTGGGTTAGAGACCAAAAATTCAAGTTGACCAGTTCACTAACTCGAATGAACCAAATGCAATACTCAACCCAACCTCGGCCATTAAGTTACTAAATACAAAGAGCTTGATGAATGTGGGACATCAAAGGTTTGTCGCTTAGCATGGAAGAGGATGGAGAGGTGAGCGTGAAAGAAACCTCGCCAGTTTTTGGATTGTCCATTGCACGACATTGACTACACTTACCAAGTAAGAATAGATATTTGAGCAATTGGAGATCAAATTTTGTCGACTTCGAATTTCTACTTGACGCCATCGTCGTTATCAAGAAGCTTTACACCAAGTGGTAATTTTCTTTGCGGTCCCTTAGGCGGGTTCCCGTTTAGATGTGAACATGGGGTTCTTTATGGCTTTAGCCTCTTGATTGCAAATTATTCTTGTGAGCTGCTATAGTTTATCATCTTCGATGCTGAAAATGGAGATTGAGAGGGATGAGAGAATGAAGATTGGGAAGGAAGAGACCACGGAGATACAAAGGGGGAAAAGGAGAAATGGGAGGGGCAGTTGCAGAAGGAACTGGAAAACCCTAGAGAGGTGTGATGATTATTAATAATAAAATTATTTTTTATTTATATATTATTTCGGTTTGGATTGAACCAGCTTTGACGTTTCTCAACCGGCAGGCGCAAACTGAACCAAATAATTGGTTCTTGAAAAAAAAATAACCAAATTAACCAAGATTTCAAGTAACGCAACCCAGGGTTGATCTGAATAAAAATATAATTACCGAACCCATGGGTGAGGAGTACCAAGTAGAAAAGAAAATACTTTACGGAGCAAAATGGCATAATCTATCGCTAAGAATTAAGATGTCATTTCTCAAATTTCAACAACTCCATACATTATTGAGACAAGACGAGCAAATATAATATATATCTGAGGAAAAGTCAGTCAAATTTCTTACCAACTTGTTCTAATTAAAAGATGAAGCTTTTGGATTTTTGTGGCAAAGAAGGTTTCAATCCAGTTTTGGCAGTTTCCTTCTGGACATCTCTTCCGAGTTTTGGCCTTTTTCAAAAATCTTCTTTTGAGCTAAAGCATGTTTTAGCTTTTGTAACTTGGTGAAATGTGAATATGGACCGGTTTTGGTTGCTTTGTCTCATTGGTTTTTAAATTATTTTTCTCAGAGATGCTAGATCTTTTGGCGTTATTCAATGCTTTATTTATCTTTTGGCTCTTGTAATATTTGAAGATCTTTACTTTATTTGTTTGGTTGATTGTTTGTTTTCTCTCCTCTCTCCTTGAGAACATGTTTATATTTTTTCATCCATCGATGAAAAGTTTTCTTCATGTTACAAAAAAGAAACCCAATTGATTGAGACCATTTCAATTAAAAGCAGAAAAAGTATGGAACAATACCCGAGAAAAGAACAGTGACTGCATCAAAAATTCAAGCTGGAATTCTGCAAGTAAAATATTAGGTTATAAGAAATTGAAATGAAAAAGAAAAATATATAAATAACATGTAGAATGTCATCAGATGCTCTAACTAAACAATGACAGACAGAAAAGCCATAACTGTCAGAGAGTAATCAACAAGTTGAACATCAAATTCCATATCAACAAGACTATGAATTCCAATTATTTGCCTTGCATAAGCATTCTTTTCTCTTTTTTCAATAAATAACTTTTTAATCCATGAGGCTTCACGAATAGTTCTTAGTCCGGAAATGCTTCTAAATAGTATCTACCATTAATACTGTTGACTGCCATTACAGAAATATGACAAGGAACTTTTTGTTATTTTTGTACACTAATGTTGAAATAACCTCCCTCCCTCCTCCCATCCGCCCTCCCTTTACCCATCCCCCCCCCCCCTCCCTCCCTCCCTCCACCTCCCTCTCATCATATCATCAATAGAAAAGTCATGGTCACAATTAGAGTCATTGACAATACCTTACAACAGGATAAATATTTGTCAACAAAATCGCAATTTGTTACAGCACTCCATTTCCACAGATCAAGGGAGAGAGTCATGGAAGGTAGGAGATACACATTGCTGAAGAGAAAGGGAAGGGGAAAAATAGAAGGTTCATATGGCCCACACCGGAAACGAGAGGGAGCATTGGTAAATGGATTTTAAAGACCTCTTATCCCAAAGAAGCAAGTTAAGAGAGTTCATTGGAAATCTCATTGTAGTTTTAGACAACAGTGATAAAGTCCAGAAAGGGAATCCTAAAAGATATCTATCCTCTAGCTGGTGTATACTAGGTCCAAAGTAAGCAATAAAAATCAAGACCACCATTTTATAAGCTGCCCACTGGCCTCTCAATTTTGGCAGACTTGATCAAAACTTTTCTGTGGACATTTTGGTTAGAGAGAAACAATAGTTTTTTTGGAAAGAGAAAGATCACTCTCTTCGGAATTTTGATCCCCTTCATTTCACCCTTTGGGGTTTGTATCTTTGAACAATTTTTGTTCCTTTTCATTTATCAATGAAAAGTTCGTTTCTTGTTCAAAAAAAAGATCACTCTCTATTTTGTAGGACCATATTGTTTTTATGGTTTGCCTTCGTCCAAATTGTTCAAACCTTTTAATAATTATGACCTCTACCTTTTTTTGCTATTAGGGTTTTTTGCTTTTTTTTTCCATAAGAAACCATTCTTTCGTTGAGAAAACTGAAATGGATAACAAGAAGGGCATACAAAAAAAACAGCCCAAGAAGAGGACACCCACTAAAGAAAATGGCTTCAATCCAAAATAATGACACCTAACTGATAATTACAAAAGGCCTTAAAGACCGAACCCCACAAAGAAGTGTTAAACCTAAAAAAATCTCAAATAGTACCCACCATCTTTTCCACCCTTAAAAATTCTATTATTCCTCTCCAACCAAATACCTCACAAAGTAGCCAAAATGCACGCCTGCCACAAGAACCGATCCCTATAGCGAAAAGGAGGGGACAGCAGCAACTCCTCCATCGTCGTCGTAACATCCCTATTAAGGGCAAAAGATACCCCAAAGCAACCAAAAAAATGAAGTCGGAGCTTCTGAGCAAACTGACGAGACCACAACAAATGCTCGAGGTCTTCCAAGGCTCCTCTACAAAGCACACACCACTACGGGGCAAACACAAGGAAGAACTCGTCTGAATACGATCCATGGTATTGACTTTTCCAAGTAAGATCTGTCACCCAAAGAACTTAATCTTCTTCGGAATTTTTATCTTCCAAAGAGATGTAAACAAAGAGGCCGACAAGGGAGAATCTGGGGAACTCAAAACATGGAAATAGGAACGGCAAGAGAAACCCCTAGAAGGGCTGGGGGACCACATATGCACATCCCCCCTCCCGAGACTGAAAGAAACCTCCGACGACAGGCCAAGCAAAGCAAAAACCTCTAAAGACTCACGATCAGTCAAAGAACGACGAAATCCCAAAGAGACGGAAGACGCAAGCCCCTCCCCCAAGGATCCATTATAGCAGCCATCGAATGCAACCTCTTATCAAAAAGATGGTAGAGCCGAGGGAACAAAAGACTAAAAGGTTTATCTTCCACCCAAATATCCTCCCAAAAGTAAGTATTACGACCAGTGTTTTCAAGGCGCAAGGCGCAAGGCGCACTTCAAGGCGACAAGCCCTTTGATCGCCTCAAGGCGAGAGGCGATAAAAAGGCGAGGCCTGAGTGAAGCGAGGCACCCTGAATAAAATATTTAATAAATAATATTTATTAATAATTTATATGTAAAATAAATAAATATTCAATAAAATGTGAAAATTAAAAAAAAATATATATATATATATTCAAATAAAAATTAATTTAAATAATTGAGAAAAATAAAAATATTCAGATTAAAGGAAAAAGAAGCAGAGAGAAAATTGTATTTAAAATAAATGGAAAAAAAGTAGTTCAATAATGCTAAAGAATTAAATATAAATAGTTGTATTTATGGGAAACTGTATTTATAATAAATAGCTGTGTTTATGGGAAACACAAATACTATTTGACAGCTAGCAAGCACATAGAAAAATGTGTTGCCTTCAAACTTTTCTTTCTTTAGTACTACCCTCAATTTCTTCTTCTTCTCGTACTCTACAAAAAAAGAAAAGCTCTTCTCCTCCTCAAGCTTTTCTTCTTCAACATGCTCTGCCTCAAATTTTCTTCTTCCTTCAACTCTACCATCTCTATTATCTCCCT